CGCGACTCGGGCCAAAGCGGAATCGTCACCCCCGCGCCCCACCATACCGTGTCCACCACCCTTATCGGCCACGGGGTGGTAACAGTGGCGGAGATACCACATACATCACCCTACACTAATCTTTTTTTCTAATATTATTTATATCGAAAGAAGTACTCAATTTTGAATTCGAAGAACTCAATTTGAAGAAACCAATATTATGGAAGATTATTAACTATCAATTGCACGTATCATTTCCTAGTTTCCCGGCTGAAATGTAAGAGCACAATCTACAAGTTAAAAGAATCAAATTTGTGAGATAAAGTTTGGTTATAAACGCGTCGTAAAAAGAATTAAAAGAAATAAATACCGAGCAGGACTGTTGTTTGTTGGTTTTGCGAAAGTTTATCGACGACGAATTAGTGAATGGTATCGTTTAGAAGACAAACGATAGAACTAATTGAGGATATTCGTGCAAAAATACTATATAATGATTCGCATATGTATGATTCGTATAAATTTAAATACCAGCTGCCATTTACAATGCTTGATCGTATTCATAAATTTATTTATTTACTCCGTCGAAATACGAGCTCGTACGAATGTCCGCACTCTATTAACGAGTCTCTGAATTCGAATATTTTACAAGCAGATTTTGTCGAAAGTTAATATAATAATAGTTTCAATGGCCGATCAGCAATCGGTGTGATAAACACGATAATCAGCTTGTATAAATGATTAGCTTAATTAATCAGGATCGATTTGACGAAGAAATATTAAATACTCTTTAGAAGCTGTACGTTTATCAATTTGTTAATTACCTAATAATTCCAAATTAATTACCTAATTGAACACCATAGAATTTTCATTTAGAATAACTCGACTCGTAATCTTCGCTATGATAAAACGAAGGCAGAACGAAACATAACACGACACAAGTAAGCGTTGTAAAAGCATACGTAAAGTGCGCTACATATGTTTCACTGTACTTTTGCGTTCTCGGTGCTGTGGGTATAAACCATTCGAAGTTTATTGTAAAATCTTGAAGGTTCTTAAGGTTTCAAAACTCGGCCGCAAAAGTATAAGTAAGCTGGAACTAAACTAACTTTCCGCCGGGGAGTTCAACTTAAAATTAAAGTTTAAAGACTTATAACTTCCCCTAACGTGCCGCTGCTTGATCCCATGGGCGAGGATAGTTAACTCAATAGCTTACTATCTCTAAAACGTATGAGAGCAGCGAACTCTCTCTACTCCTATTTTCCCGTCATAAAGTTATAACAATATCGTGTACCGTGTACATAATAAATTCACGATATTCTGAATAATTAACGGATCGAACAATGGTCGGATATAAACAACCGAAACCGGTACAAATAATAATTTTCTGGACTCCATAAGTCCCGAATAATATTGAATGCTTCTGCATTTGTTTGTTAAACAATCGGTATTCAGTAAACACAATGTACTTTAAAAACAATCAACACCGCGTATTTGCGATTAATTTGCGAAAACATTTACATTCGTCCCCCCTCGTGTTTTCTCATCACATTTTCGTTCTTTTTTCTCCGATCAGAAGTGATAGACACGAATATATGGCACGATGTTTTATCGTCTACCGCTAAATATTCGTTATATCGGAGTATTGCGACTGTATTCCGCGAAACAAAGTTAGTTAATACGCGATGCCAGCAGGTGCAACTGCAGAACGATGGGACCATGACGACGAGGAAAAGGTTGTCTAATGGAAACGGAGCGAGAACCAACGAAATAACGATTGTCGTTTTCGACGGTGATAGTTATTGTTCTACTTGGGTCGGGGTTAAAAAAAGCCAAAAGCAAGAAAAGAGAATCGAAAAAATAGAGGGGCGAGACCGGTCACAATAACGAGGACACTGACCTACATCCATTCGTCTCTGTCCGTTCTTTCGTTCGAAGAATTACACTTTATACGACGTTATACTAAAAGACATCAATTTTCACACTGTGCTACGTCCCCCTTGCCGTGGTTAAGACACTCTCTCACTTTTCAAATAAAATAGAGAGAAAGGTGCAATTGTTATCGAAGTAATAAAAGTCCAGCGGTGGAAGATTGTAAAATTTTCGCATAGAGGAAATAAATAATGTACGTCGAGTGACGATCAAAGTTATCGCGAATTCAATGAATTACGACGGTTCTACGTATTACGATTTCGTTCGATCAAAGATTTTACGGCTCGAGGAATGATCGCAAGGGAGAAACGTTACGAGGAAATTATTTCTTAGATTCGCAAGCACAATGGCGATGAACCTTGAGAATAGAAGAAAAGAGCTGTCGATTAATTCTTATTGTCAGGGTCAGGCAGGCTTACAGGAAAATATAACATCTCCGGATGACCATCTGACCTGTACTCGTCCCAACTGAAGACTGGATATCAGCACTTCCACTTCGGAGGGACAATTGGCCGACTAGTCATCCGTTCTAACCATTCGGGCCCAATCCGATTTGTACAAGATGGTCGTTTAGAGACGTTTCTTATTAAGGACCTTCCTTGTTTCTTTTTCCTCCTATGGTTCTCTTCCTTCAATTTCACGATTCAAACAGTAATTTCAATTTTCGAACATCATTGTCTTTAAATTTGATTTTCTTGCATCTTGCTAATAGATGTGTTAGTAATGGATCCTTAAAAATTCGTTAAAATTACCATTTCTCATATACATGTGGGTATGTAGATTGTTGCAAGAGTGAGACAATCAAATGTGTTTAATTTGAATAAAGAATATTATGATAAATAAATCTACTGACTAAATGTTTGAAATCACTTTCATAGTTATACTGAATTTCGTTGCGATTTTATCGTTAATATAATCTAAATTCAACTTCTTCCGACTACGATACATTTTTGGTTACAGAATTTTCCTGAGACGACAGAATTCTAAATTGACATCCCTTTTTAAATTCTTCGGATCTATGGAACATATTGTGATTCCAAACTTTTGATTCACAATTCATATATAAACCTTAGTATAACACGTTACAGGAATGAAATTTAAAATTACACAAAATCTTATGAGAAGGGTGCATTATCCTTATGACAAGAATTCTTCATGACACAAATTCCTCTACTAAATTTATTAATATGTAAATAAAATATAAATTCTAAATTTCTAATTATTGCCTTGTAATTTTAATGCGCCAGGACTTGAAACTATATTACTTTCGTTCGACGTTGCGATAATTCTCTATTAACAAATAATGCAAGATCGATGAGTACTGTCTTAAACTGGAAGGAAAGTGGATCCGTTACGCCGCCATTTGCTTGAGCTCTAATTAGAATGCATGCCCAGGACCGTACAAGAGAATATTGTATGCACGATTGTACAGCGCATCGTGCGAGCATCCTTCGACGGCGCGAATCTAGATTGAGAGGAAATTAATTAAGATGGCACTGCCCGGGATCAAACCACCCCTTTTCGCACCCCCCTACCTACCGACTTGAGCAGGAACATTCCATGCATAGCTTGCGGTTACATCTCAGGCTGCTACATCACCAAATCCGCCCCTTCCACCTCCTTGTACCCTTTACCCCACGTCGACACCATTGCCCTGCTCGTACCCCTAAACTGTACATAATATATTCGTGGCAGCAGGTACATTCACGCACCTTTAGATATACACTATGATATTACATTTACAGAATTTCAATAACAATAACCAACACCATTTCATTATCTTCCACAGTCATTCTACCCTATACTCTATACAATGCTATTCAAAGTAAAATGTCAATTATGATTATCACTGAAATTAGTTAATGTGTTAATTACGTCTTTTATTTAAGATAAAGTGTGACAAGATTTCAGTGTAAGATTAGTACGGTCTATGTAGATGAAGAGCTGTTTTATTAATTAATACAGAAACATATATAGAATTACTTAGTTAGTTTACTACCCATGACACTGTAAATAGCGAACTTAGATTTCATAGGAACCAGAAAAAATAGAAGGTGGTGGTTGAAATTAATAAGGCAGATTCAGAAGAAAGGAAGAAAAATGATAAATTCGAGGAAGTAATTGTTTCTAGGTGAAGTGTTGTTCTAGGCGAGGAAAAGAAGGAAACTAACAAGGCGAAATTCCCCGCCGGTCGAAGGCA